TTAAGGCAGCTAATATGCATAAGGGAATGAAATAAAAAGCAGAGGACTTGTGGTCAGAGACCCCAAGCTTCATCCCTCACTCTACTACCCACTCACTACGGTACACTAGAAAGTCGAGTCTTCCTGTGCCTAATTTTTCCCCTTCTAAAAATAAGTCTTATAATATTAACTTGATGACGGTTTGTGAAGCCTAATTTATTAATCTTATACAGTGTTTCGAGGTCCTTGGAAGAAAAGTACTAGGAGAACGGCAATATTTTTATGTGAATCCCAGAGATGCTTATGATATTTAATCAAGCACAGATTATACTGTTGTATGATTTAACACAGATCAATGTCATCCCCTTCAAAATAAACAGTCAGGTAATCCCAGTAAGAGATTCTTTTGTCCTCATTTGGCTAGATTATCATTCAGACTCCCACAGAAAGTCTCTGTACAGATTAACCAAACCAAGATTTTATAAGTGTAAGTAACACATAGGCATGTTAGTGAGCCAAGAGTAAGCTGTGTGAGTGGGAGTACAATTAAAATGTCTTTTTTACCTGCAGGGAGGCTGGTTTTCTGAATGACAAGCTCTGGGAGTTTCCAGCAGCCACTGTCCTCATCCCAGATGGACTCACATTTGATCTTATCTAGGTTGCTGTAGTTACAGTCACGCCGTATGAGGGGCTGCACCTGATCCAGAAGTTGCTGAAAGAGCAAGCAGTCCCGCTCTTGCCGGCGGATGGTGGCAAGATAATCAATCTTCTCCAGCTCGAACTCTGATTGCAAGTCTTTGATTTCAGTCTCAGCAGCTTTCAGCTAGGTCACCAAAAGGAAAGGGTTAATTGTGATGAGAACACAGAGAACTCTAGATGACTGGCACAACAAGAATGACTGCGCAAGAGTAGTGGGAAGAAAGGTATGAGGAGAGTTTGAAAAATCTGGACTGTTTACTTTAGAGAGTAAATAGTTCATCAGAAGAAGTGGGTTGTACCCACTGAAGCTCATGATACCATCTACATTTTTTGTTAATCTCTAAGGTGCTGCAAGACTATTCATTTTTTAAGCTTTTCCAGTTACAGACTAACAGTTACCCCTCTGATACTTTAGCGAGGACACTAATAAAGAGAGGGTATGATCTAAGTTTACATTACATGAATAGTTCTGAGAAAGAGGATTGGGAAGAGAGGGTTCCTCACCCTGTGCAGTAACAGAGGTTCTTTGAGATGATTGTCCCTGTGGGTGCTCCACCGTAGGTGTTTGGGTGCTGTTGTGTGCCTAGTCATACATTTTTGGTAGCAGTGCATTCCAGTGGGCTGCGCATGCTGAGCAGATGGCACACGCAGTGCTGCCACTAACAGCGGCGGATTTGGGGCAGGGCGAGCGGGGCGGCTGCCCCGGGCCCCGCGCTTGCAGGGGCCGTGTCAAAGGTGGAGGCCCCACGAAATTGTGCTGCCCGGGGCGCCGTAGTGCTCTCATCCGCTCCTGGCCACTATGCATGCAGAGCAACCGTCCTCTCAGTTCCTTCTCTGCCCCAGAAGGAGAAACCAACAAGTCTGAAGCAGAGGGGAAGAAGGGAGGGTGGTGGAGCACCCACAGGGAAAACCATCTTGAAGAACCTCTTACTTTTCAAGGAGTGTACCTGTGGGTGCTCCACCTTAGGTGACTAAGAAGCAGTACCTGTGATGGAGGGGGACTTTGGTTAGCTATTACTATGCACAGCACCTGGAATGGTGTGTTCAAAGTGGGTACCCCGAGGGGTGGGTGGCCAGAGCATAGTGACTAGCAAACATGTGAGTGGAGGACCATGTTGCTGATCTGCATATGTCCATGAGTGAGATGCTGCGTATATAGGCTGTAGAGGCCTCCATGGCCCTGACTGAATGTGCCCATAGGCAAAATAGAGGTGCTTGGCCATAGGTGGAATAGGCTATTTTGTTATAGTCTAGATATTCTCTCCTACATATTCTCTGGGTAGAAATAGGCATGTCCAAGGATCTGTCTGTGGTGGAGACAAATAACCTGTTTGTCTTGTGGATTGGCTTAGTTCTAAGTAAAAGAAAATTGCCCAATGGACGTCAAGAGTCTGCAATGCAGCCTCTTTGCTATGTGTGAGGCTTTGGGAAGAAAACAGTAAGTTTATGGGCTCATTACAGTGGAATGGGGTGGGAACCTTCGGGAGGAAGTTAGAGTAAGGCCAGAGAACAATCTTGTGGAATCTTGTGGAATGCTGTGAAAGGAGGGTCTGCCATGGGAGCCTTGATCTCACTAAATCTCCTAGCAGATGTGACAGCTATCAGTAAGACCACCTTCATAGAGAGGTGGTGCATGGGGCATGTTGCCATAGGCTTGAATGGTTTAGAAGTGAGAGCTTGAAGAACCAAGTTGAGATCTCAGGCTGGGACAGGAGGCCTCGTTGGTGGGTAAGTATTTTGTATGCCCCTTAGGAAACATTTGGTTGTTGGATGGGTGAAGGCTAATTTATTATTAATAGGTTGATGAGAAGCCATAATGGCTCCTTTAGGGAGCTGAATGACAGCCCCGATTCTTTCAAATCTAGGACATATTGTAGAATGGTAGACAGCAGTACTATGGCTGGTTCGAAGCTTCTTTGCTCTATCCACCATGAAAATCTGCCATTTGTAAAGGTAAGATTTTCTTGTTGTTCTACGGCTGTTCAGTAAGATTTGTTTGACTTCATCAGAGCATGTTGTTTCTCCTGAGGAGAGCCGTTGAGAAACCATGTATAGAGATGGAGTGCCTGTAGTCTCAGCAAAGATGCCTGCCCTCCTGAGTCAAGAGATGAGGAAGCAGCAGGAGGCACCATGGTTGTCTCATGGACATTTGGAGCAGGTAAGTGAACCAGGTCTACCTCGGCCACTCTGGGGCGATAAAGAAGTCTCTGATCTGATTTTGTTCACCACTTGATGGAGGAGCAGGATGGGAGGGAAGGCACAGAGAAGCCTTGTTCCACTGTATTATAAATGCATCTCCCAGGAAATGTGTGCCAATGCCCGCACATGAACAATATTGTGGACACTTCTTGTTGTCACTGGTTGCAAACAAGTCCACTGTGGGGAACCCCCATTGGGTGAACAGCTGCTGTAGGATTCTGGGGTCCATTTCCCATTCATGGTTGTATTTGAAGTTTCTGCTGAGGTCATCAGCAGTGAGATTGTCACTGCCCAGCAGGTAGGAGGCCTGCAGGTATATATCATGTGTTATGAACCAAGTCCAGATGCGGACAGCCTCCCTGCATAGCTAAGATCTGGCCTCCCCTTGTCTGTTGATGTAAAACATCGTGGCCTGATTGTCCATTAAAATCTGGACCGTGCTTTTGTGTATGCGATGTAGGAAATGTTGGCATGCATAGAATACTGCTCTGAGTTCCAATACATTTATGTGCAGCTTGGATTCTTGTGGTAACCACTGATCTTGAGTCATGAGCATAGGCGTGCGTATGGGGTCTCAGGCTGGCTAGCAGCTGCTGGAGGTGGAGGGGGATTTGTGACGGGGTGCCACAGCCCCTCACTTTAAATTCCCTGCGGCCATCTACGGGGAACTGTGGGGCAGAGAGAGCACATGCGCAGCGTTGCAACAGGTAAGAGGGGAGATGCCCGGGCATAGCGTGACATCACGGCCTGAGAGTTTAAAACCACGCGGTCTAGCTCCAGAAGCAGCTGAGGCCCGACTACAGATGCTGGCCTGAGCCATTTTTGTGCCCCGAGCCTCACCCATCCCCCAGGCACTGCGCAGCACCCCTGAGGCACCCGGGGCGCTGGAGTGGGCCCTGGGCCTCAGCCCCCCTGCACGTCCTCCCATCCTGGCCCCAGAGCATCTCTCCCCGGCCCCGGCCCTGGCCCCAATCCGTCCCTGCCATGTGCAACCTCTACTAAGTTCCCCCTTGCCAGCTGCTGCTGCCATATCTGACATGCTCAAACCAGTGGGCGGGGAGATGCCCGGGTGTGATGTAACGTCATGGCCAGGGATTTTAGAACTGCTGGGTGCTGCGTTGCGCCATGCAGCTGAGTTGCGGGTTCAGAGTCTGGGGATGGAGCACAGACTCCGGCCCCGCAAAATGGAAGGCAGAAGGTAGGGGAGGGGGAGGGCTGAGAGAGGAAGGGGCTTGGGCAGAGGGGGAGGAGAAGGGAGGAAACTAGGGGAAGGGCTGGGAGACGAAGGGGCTTGTGCGGAGGAGGAGGGGAGAGGGGGAAGAAAGGGGAAGGCACCAAAGGGACAGGGTAGAGTAGAGAGAAATGCCAGGGGACCAAGTGCAGACAATGAGGAAAAAGGCAGGAGGGGAGGTGTCAGTGGGAGAGGGACAGGGTGATGCTGGGAGGGGAGAGGATAAAGAGGTTAGAGGGGGGAGGGGGAGGTGCTGGGAGAAGGCTTGAAAGAAGGGGTGGGCATGAGGAAGGCAGGGATGGAGCAAGGCATGTGTGAGGGCACAGGGGCATGAAGGGAATGGGGGCAGAGAGTGCTGAGGGGATGGGCATCAGGGAAAAAGAAGGCAAAGGGGCAGGGGCAGTGAGGAAAGGGGGAGGCACCAGGAGGGTGCAGGGGTAAGGGAAGGTGCAGGTGCCAGGGGATTCTGGGGGTGAAGCAGAAGGGCAGACACCTGCAGAGGAGAGACCAGCACCAGAGGAGAGAGGCAGGGCAGGTGTGTAGAGGGAGGTGTTAGGAGAGGGGATGAGGAGGGATAGCTCACATGATCAGAGTGGGGCTACTGGAGGAGTGGGCAGGCTCATGCTGTGCTTTATTAATTAATAAAGCACAGCATGAGCCTGCCCACTCCTCCAGTAGCCCCACTCTGATCATGTGAGCTATCCCTCCTCATCCCCTCTCCTAACACCTCCCTCTACACACCTGCCCTGCCTCTCTCCTCTGGTGCTGGTCTCTCCTCTGCAGGTGTCTGCCCTTCTGCTTCACCCCCAGAATCCCCTGGCACCTGCACCTTCCCTTACCCCTGCACCCTCCTGGTGCCTCCCCCTTTCCTCTCTGCCCCTGCCCCTTTGCCTTCTTTTTCCCTGATGCCCATCCCCTCAGCACTCTCTGCCCCCATTCCCTTCATGCCCCTGTGCCCTCACACATGCCTTGCTCCATCCCTGCCTTCCTCATGCCCACCCCTTCTTTCAAGCCTTCTCCCAGCACCTCCCCCTCCCCCCTCTAACCTCTAATACCCTTACCCTCTCCTCTCCCAGCATCACCCTGTCCCCTCTCCCACTGACACCTCCCCTCCTGCTCTTTTCCTCATTGTCTCCACTTGGCCCCCTGGCATTTGTGTCTCCTCTGCCCTGTCCCTTGGTGCCTTCCCCTTTCTTCTCCTGACCTGCCCCCCTCCACCAGCCCTTCTCTCCCCCCTGTGCCCACTCCTCCAGTAGCCCCACTCTGATCATGTGAGCTATCCCTCCTCATCCCCTCTCCTAACACCTCCCTCTACACACCTGCCCTGCCTCTCTCCTCTGGTGCTGGTCTCTCCTCTGCAGGTGTCTGCCCTTCTGCTTCACCCCCAGAATCCCCTGGCACCTGCACCTTCCCTTACCCCTGCACCCTCCTGGTGCCTCCCCCTTTCCTCTCTGCCCCTGCCCCTTTGCCTTCTTTTTCCCTGATGCCCATCCCCTCAGCACTCTCTGCCCCCATTCCCTTCATGCCCCTGTGCCCTCACACATGCCTTGCTCCATCCCTGCCTTCCTCATGCCCACCCCTTCTTTCAAGCCTTCTCCCAGCACCTCCCCCTCCCCCCTCTAACCTCTAATACCCTTACCCTCTCCTCTCCCAGCATCACCCTGTCCCCTCTCCCACTGACACCTCCCCTCCTG